TTCTTCAGCAAATAGACAAACAGAAGCATGATTTGCAAGATCTTGAAGCCAAAATTAAGGAACTAAAGGATAAGCAAGGTTTACCCCTGTTTGGTGATGTTGCCACCTTTTGATTGCGCATTGAATATGTAAATTTTCTGTTATGGGTGACAGGTGAGCTGGATGACAGCATGACTGAACTAGAGGAGAGTAGGAGAAAACTAGTGAATGCAAAAGGATGTCGCATCTGCATAACCTTACTTATGGTGCAGTGAATGGAACCCTATCACCTGAAAAATCAACAGAAGGGACAATGAGCTTGCGGGAACTTAAGAAATTCAATAGAGGAAACAAAGGTATGGATAATGCCAAAACTCCATTGTACCAGCTCTCTTTCTCACTCTTTCGCTAAAACCCCAGCTTGATGTATTTGCAGAGATGCCAGACCCGCCAGGAAGAAGGAAATCTGAAAGAAAAAACTACGCCGTTCAAGTTTTCCAAAAATGGGCCGCCTAGGCGGGCTAGGCGGGTCCTTTTTTATATAAATATATAAATAGTATAGCCGAACGGCTAAACGTTTGAAATAATATATTTAAACAGTATGGCCGCACGGATATACCCGTTAAATAATATATTTAAAAGGTGTAGGCGCGGGGCGTTATGCCTTCAATAATATATTTAAACGTATAACCAGGCGGCTATACCCCTTTTAAAAAAAAACGGCTGCAGAAGAAGAAGAAGTGCTTCTCAGCCTCTTTGATTCATACTGGTTTGAACATGGAATTTTGAGCAAGAAATCCCCTTCAAAACCCTAAGAAGCAACAAACCCAAGTCTCCAAGTGGACCAATCAGCCCAAGAAGCAACCCAACAATAAGTACCAAATTTCCCCAGCCTTTCATGCTTGCCAAGGTCTCGAAGTGAAGACCAATCTTTATACACCAAAGGGAGCCTCTTCCCTTCTGATTCTCTCTCCCCACACTCAATCCAGGATGGAGTGCAACTTTTATTTCGCTTTGCCACCTCTCACTGAGAGCCACTTTTTTGTATGAATGACAAGATTATTACACAATTATGATGGGTAGAGATTGAGTCCAGATGATCTTGATCACATTTCAACCTTGTCACTTGAGCCAAAACTCACCAATCTCGCTTTGACAAAGAAGAAAAGGGTCGGGACGATTGATCGGGATCACTAGTTATAAGTTCGGGCTCGTGTGGGATTGAATCTCTAACAAAAATTAGAGATAAACAATACATGATCTGATCTGCAACTAAATATAAGAAATCGGAGGGTATCCATTATTAGTAGCAATCTACAAGCAGGAGGAACCCTATGAGGGTTCATGAAATGCATATTTATTTGACTTAAACATCAAATAGCATCACCATCAACTCAATATGAAATAGAAATAACAAGGATATCTTTAGGACCTTCGTCCTGATGAACTCAATAAATAGCATCACCATCAAAATCGAAAAGAAAAAAGCACATAAATTCAGAATCACCAACGGATAATGAAAAATTGTTATTAAATTTAGTGATAATCTGAATGTTTAATAAACTAAAGGCAAGAGAACAAAGGAAATTGCCATACTGTGAGATTCGTGCTGACTGCTACCATTCCATATGCTTTGCAACTGCATCAGGCCTGAAATTGTTACACTCAATCATGAGAAAGAGGACTAAATTTTATCTGACAAAATCAATGATTAACTACAAAGAAATAATAAACCTTCACTCCGTCATACCATCTTGAGGACTAAATTATTCAATAATAAAATTACTAAGGTATTCCAAATAAGATTCATTCCGCCCACTCCCAAGCTCATTCACGTTTGTTTAAATTAACCCAAAGATTACTAAGCAAATCCTGAACTGAAGCAACATGTTCATATACTTGAAGAAGTGCTAGCAGTGCACTGACCCGAGAGAAGATGAAATCCATTCCCTAAGGGTTCCAACATTCAACATAGTTTCAGCTGTTGTAAAGGTCTTTAAAACTACCACAACTGCAAATATCAAAAGAGTTATATATGCCACAAGTATTTTTCAGAAACGGAATACTGCCACTCTTTATGGGCCATCCTCTGCAGCAAACATTCGGTTACTCTTTTCTTTGAGGGATGCAGCCTGCATTGTGGGAAATCACTTCAAAAGCCTCAAGACATGGATTCATTTCATACCATTAGCATCTTACCAGCTCTTAATTCATTGATATAGAGAACTGGAAAATAATCAATTAAAAATTGATACGTAAGTACTTAAAAATGCAGTTGCCTCCCCGTCCAACAGTATCCCGTCAAACTCAAAATTAAGTGTTATGTTTGTTTTAGGTGAACCTGGAGATGCTACTAAGATTGAATCCCATACTCAAACTCATACAGATCCGACTACGGAGATCTAAACGGGAGTCGCTAAGACTCCAGCTTGATGTATTTGCAGAGATGCCAGACCAGCCAGGAAAAATGAAATCTGAAAAAAAAACGCCATTCAAGTTTTCCAAGAATCGGCCGCCTAGGCGGGCCTAGGCGTTTTTATTTTATTTTATAAATAGTATCGCCTCACGGCTATACTCTTGAAATAATTTATTTACGTATGGCCGCGCGGCTATACTGCTTAAATAATATATTTAAACAATAAGATTTTGGACACGTGGCGAAGCGAGCGCTAGGCGCCAGGTGATCCTTTTTACCATAAATAGTATAGCCGAGTGGGTATACGAGGATATTTTTATAATAAAAAATAGTATGGCCGATCGGCTATACTTTGACTAGAGCTGTGTTTACAGTATAGCCGCGAGGCTATACTATTTGCATAAGACACGTTAGTAGATTTTTACAGAATGCATCTAATCCTTTAACCCAACTACCAAGACTACAACCAAATATTTACACAGAGAACGCATCTAACGTAGTCCCTGAATATGGGCTATGTTTCTTCAACCACCACAAGTACAACCAAGCACACAGAATATAGATTGCTTTCAAAAATGAAAAACAAAAAAAATTTGAAAGCATAAGTAAAAGCATGCCATGTCCTAAAATCCCATGTGCCGTATCAAATACAAAATGCTTCTCTACATGTCTTTAACAGATGAATGCATCCCTCCTTCAAGAACTATGCCACTGAAATAAACTCGTGAACAGAGACAATTTCTTTGTTCCAATCAGGTGGGTCCTAAAATGAAGAAGCTAAAAGAAAGCTAATATGTTTGACAGCAGTAGTGGGAAATCACTTCAAAAGCCTCAAGACATGGATTCATTTCATACCATTAGCATCTTACCAGCTCTTAATTCATTGATATTGAGAACTGGAAAATAATCAATTAAAAATTGATACGTAAGTACTTACAAATGCAGTTGCCTCCCCCTTAAATAATCTTCCAAAAGCCACAAGAGACCTCAATTTCTGAAATTCTTGTTACAATAATTCCTCAAAAGCTCCTTCACCCAGCCAGTCATTGCCAAAACCAAAAGTTCCAGCCATCTGTATAAACAGAAACCAAAAGGCATAAAAGTAAGACAATTTGTAACAGTTGTAAGTGAAAACAATAGCTGATTACAGCTAGCCAACATGGTAATCTAATGATTCCAGAGTACAGCCGCTATACTCTTAATTAATGCTTACCGAGGGTAGTTTCTGGGTTTAACGCTGCAATATTTCTGGCAACATCAATAGGATCAACGTTTGCAAGACTGCACACAGAGGAAAACAAATTAATAGAATACCCTTATACCCGAATCATCCATCTTCTGATAATAAATAAAAAATTATATAAGCCACAAATATTTTTCAGAAACGGAGTACTGCCACTCTTTATGGGCCATGCACCCCACCAAACATTCGGTTAATCTTCTCTTTGAGGGATGCAGCCTGCATTGTGGCATAGACAACATTAATTAAACAACACTATATACACCCAATCCCTTCCCCCCACCAGACACTAGTTACGAACGGGCCAACCCCACCTCTGCCAATTTCCAAGGTTTCAGGCCTGGAACGTTGCTGATTTTCAGAGATGCCTTTACGTTGTTGATAAACGAGAGTAGCAAAAACCCTAGCTTGATGTATTTGCAGCGATGTCAGACCAGCTAGGAAAAAAGAAATCTGAAAGAAAAAAAAAAGCCATCCAAGTTTTCCAAAAATGGGCCACCTAGGCGGGCTAGGCGGATCCTTATTATTTTATTTTATAAATAGTATAGCCGGACGGCTATACGCCCGAAACAATATATTTAAAAGGTATGGCCGCGCGGCGGTACTCGTTAAATAATATATTTTAAAGGTATAGCCGATCGGCGGTACTCCTTAAATAATATATTTAAAGAGTATAGCCGCTCGGCTATAAGCACGCCCCCTCACGTGTAATCACACGTGAAGATCCACACATCGGCAATTGAAACTCAGAGGTCGGCTCTCGTTGGGCCCACTTGTTTTTTATTTTTATTTTTTATTTTTTGCTTCCTATAATCCATACATGAACAATCTCTGAAAAAATACCATGTTCTGCATGTTTTTGGTTCATTCTTGATAGCAATTGTCACGCCAAGGCATTAGATATCCTCATGAAGGATCTCAAAATTTTTGCCAAAGGTAATGAGGAGCTGTTAAAAGAAATGCATCACATGTGTATGGGTTCAATCCAACAGGGATCATAAGGCACTCTCTATGTGTAAAGATACAATGTTTATGAGGAAGAATATGATGAAAGAACTCAGGCAAATAATTTAGGCAAATCCAGTTTTCCGTGGCATACTGAAGTATCCTAGCATCAAAAGTCATAGATTACATAAACTCATTAACCAAAGGTAATGCTTCCTCTCTAGTTTTGGTCTTCCTTTCTATTTTGAAAAAAACACGGCGTGCACCTAAAGCACCCCGTAATAAACGAAGGCAAAGATCCATTTACGGCGTGCATTGAATCCACGCCATAAAAACTAAGCTTTTAAAGCGAGAAACACGTGCACACTGTAAATAGTGCACAGTAAATACTTAGTTTTCTGGTAGTGAAAGACCCTCGTCCAAATCCAGTCATTAAGACTCTTTTCGTTGATCATGTTTGTGAACCACAGGAAAATGTTCCTTTGCCTCAACCAATTGAAAACAATTTGGAAGTAAGATATGTTATGGTGACATAAATTTTTTTTTCCTAAGTATCTGTCCTCATTAACCAATGTCCTGCTCAGTGTCTACACTCACTGATTTTGGTCCAAATCCAGTTATTAAAACCCTTTTCATTGATCGTGTTTGTGAACGGCAGGACTGTTTGTCTTTGTCTCTATCGACTAGGAACAGTTTGAAAGTAAGATATGTTCTGGTAAACTGAAATTCTTTTCGTATTGGTCCTCATTAACCAATGTTTCCTGCTCATCAGCCATACTAGCTGATTTTCTTTTTCTATTTTTAAACAAGATTTTGTTTAGTCTTTCTGGTTTCTTCTAAGATTGCTCTAAACTTCTGTATTTAGCACAAGCAACATCAAATCCACTTCCAACTTCTTCTGCTGAGCCAAAAATTTATCTGTAACACAAGATGCGCTCTCCAGGAGCAGTATCTCTCAATGCTGCAGAGAGCCCAGGCATTTTTTTTAGTTCTTCAAGTGATGTTGTTGGGTACTGGTACCCTCTAATTTATGTTTGAAATGTGTCGTCATTTTACACATTGCATAGTTGTTATTATTAACTTTTGATTAAATTTTTGTGGCTACAGCTATAGAGGTTATTGACTATCCATGCTTGTCCAAAAAAATGTTCTTTCTGATTTTGGATGCGGTAATCTGAATCAATTTTATGTACAGAATTACATAATTATAGAACTTGTGTATCTTGACCTTGGTTTTCTTTCATTTGTTTAGGTAAAATCAACTGTCACTGATCCTGGCCAAAGTCACCTGACCGCGGTTGCCATACCCAATGTTTTGCCCACTACTTTTGCCCTGACACTAAATGAGGGCTCATCTCCAATGAGCATGGATTTTCATCCCACCTGGCAGACTCTTCTTCTACGTTAAGTAATAAGAAACTATGTTCTTTTTTTTCTTCTTTTTTTCTCCCATCGTTTATAAATTTCCTGTCTTTTTAGGATGATCATGTACGGTAACTAGTTTTGACAGTTCACTAACGAATCCTGCTGATGTGATTCTTCAGTTGGAACCTGGGGGTGTTGGAGACATAGGACTATGGGATGTTAGTTCAGGGAAAAAGTTGCTTTCAAGAAATTTTAGAGTCTGGAATCTTGATGCAGGCCCGATGGGCTTAAAGGTGCATCTGCTTCTGGATTATGTACTAGTCTTTCAACCTTACTAATATGATCCGAAATTTGAACCAATGCCAATTATTTCAGGAAGCTCTGGTCAAAGATTCATATGTATCTGTTAATCGTATCCGACAGAGTCCTGATGGTTCTGTATTTGGTGAGAATGTTCTCATACTTAAAATGGTATGGAGTTGCTGATTTTCAGTTCTTGTAGTTCACATTCACTGCCGTCGTGTTCTTCAATGAACAGGGGTTGCATATGCAAAGCGCATTGTGCAATTAC